AGCAAAAGTAAAAGTTGCGTACGTCAGTTGATTTAGAATGTAGAACACGTAAAATGCGTGATGAGATACATTTAATTTGCAAAAATTTTGGCAGTAACTAAATACCCAGAGACCGGATTAAAATGGTATATTTTCAGAAAGAGTTTTACTTATTAAGGGCTGTTAGCAGTTTTTTTTTAACGCCGAAACATTTTATTGACCAAGGAAGAGAAAATACCTCTGAGGGTACAGATGTATATATTATATGATGGATATTGGTAGTTAAAAATTGATACATTATTTTAACTGTATATACAAGTCGTTAATTTAAACATTATTTTAAAAAACTTTTTTTAAAGATATTCAAAAATAAGAGATATAAAATTTAAAAATCTAAATTCGGCCCTAGACTTGTGTATAAAAAGTTGCCCTAAACAAGTAGTAAGTCTGTTTGTTTTTTTTTTCGGTTTTTCTTACGAATCTCCGTTCATTTGGTACTCTCTATTATAATTCAGCCGCATGTGATTTCAGTAGCCTGTTTATCTGAAGTAGTGAATTTAAATTGTGCGTTTAAAAGAACATTTAAAATATTAGTAAATAAGATCCTAGTACGCGAATTATCACACATCAGGTGGGAGTAAGTCAAAGAAAATTGTGGACAACATTGCGGAAAAATTCATTGTATCCCTTTTACGTTTAAAGTATTGATGATTACTTACAACGGCATGAATGTGATCAACAGTTTTCGACGAAAGTTCTACACATTATTTGAGTTAGACAGGATCGTGTTGGATACATTTTAGAATTAATAATTATAGGTTTCTTATTTTCGATAAAGTTATTTATTTTAATGACTTCGTGGATTAAAATTTTGTTACCAGCAAATATGTGTTTTAATTTTATATTTTGTTTTTATGGAAAGTAAAATATATGTTTTAGTAGAGTTTATTTCCTACATTGGTAGCAAATTGGTTTATATATTTGTTTTAAATTTTTCGAAGCCTTAATATAACAACTTCAAATAACTTTTGAATACCTACATATTTGAAGCCATTAAAGAGCTTCAAATACTGTGATTTTTTGGAGTGAAAATAAGCAATGAATTTATTTTGGACAGTCTCAAAAAGTTTTTTCTATACTAACATCCATATTAGTGTTGCAAATTCTAGGTTAAAATATGTTAATTGTTTATACAGGGTGGCCATTTGAAAACAAAACAGAGCCAATTTTGGACACCCCTAGTTTTACATCGCACTATCTACATACCTCTACAGTGGCTCACCAAAAGTACAAAACCGGTTTAATTTAATTTTTACATTGTTATTAAGAAAAGGAATTCTAATTGTATTCCTGAGAACTTTAATTAGGGTTGCTATTCATTTTTGAAATCCAGGACAGATCACTAAAAACCTGTAAACAAACAAGGACACAGGGTAACAAAAAAGGACACATAATCATATAACGTTTTATTAATTTTAAATAAAATACATTTAAAAAAATTATACTAGCTGAAAAATGAAATAAACATTTTAAAAACCAAAAAATTAAAACATAATTTTTAAGTATCTACCTTATCTTACTTACCTCTTACCTTACCCATGTACGTATAGGTACCCTTTAAAAATGAGATACAAACTAATCATTAAACACTACTCTATCGTATTATAATGTCACTAATGAATAAAAATATAAAACACTTTGATTTGGTATAATAGTGCAATATAATTGTGCTTGTTTATTGCCTAAAAGTTTTTTTTCTGACTTGGCCGCTATGTTGTTTGAACAACTGGCTAAAATCCAGGACAAAATGCGTCCTTCTTAAGGGCTCGGAAGGACGAAGGACAAATCTATTAAAATCGTTTGAAATCCAGGACGTCCTTCCTAATACAGGACGGTTGGCAACCCTACTTTCAATTATTGTTATCAGATGACCTTCTTTGGTCGCCATAAAGTAGTTAGGTTTAATTTATTTCAATGTAAAGTCGGCATAAAAGTTGCATAGCAGTGATAATGGCTTACTCAATTGTTGAGAGGATGCAAATAATTTCCATCGAAAGTATATGTCGGAGTTAGTCCAAAAATTTCGGGAAACTGGGTGAGTAGCTAACAAAAAAAGTGAAATGGAAAATGCTGTAGCAAATAAAGCTACAGAGATGGCGATTTTAGGGCAAGTTGTTCAAGAATCCACATAGACTGCAAGACAGTTAGCGATAACATCTGGTATTAAGAGAAGTATATTGAAAAAATACAAGTTTCGTCTCTACAAAATATATCTGGTACAAGAACTTAACGAAGACGATTTTGATAGGCGATTACAATTTTGTGAAATTATGTCTGAACAGGCAATAAATGATCAGCACTTTCTTTTAAACGTGTGTTTTTCTGACGAATGCACTTTTTCCCTAAATGGTACGGTAAATCGTCACAACTATCGTTATTGGTCCGATTCAAATCCCAGAATATTTCATGAAGTGCAACATCAGGAAAAACTGAATGTTTGGGCTGGCATTTTTGGTAACTGTATAATTGGCCCCTTATCTTTACCTGGAACTTTTACCGCAGAAATGTATCTGGAATATTAGAAAATGCCATTTATCCAACATTACTAGAGTTGATTGAGAATAACTATCAGTACATATCAAACAACTAAATATTCCAGCAAGACGGTGCGCCACCCCAGTTTGCACTGACTGTTCGTCAGTATTTGGATCAAACGCTTTCAGGTCAATGGATTGGAAGAAGAGGAAATATTGAGTGGCCCCCACGACCTCCGGATCGAACCCCGTAAGATTTTTTATATGGCCACTTAAAAACTAAAATGTATGCTACCCAGCCAGCCACCACCACTGGAAAATCTGCGATAACCGAAAATTGATGAATGTCATCAAATCACCCTACATGATGCTTCAAAGTGTCCGAGAGCATTTTGAACATAACCTCTATTATTACATGGAGGGTCAGCATTTCCAGCCTTATTAAGTGCCGGTGTAGTTCAAACAGAGCTAACGGGTATTCCCATAGCAGCAAAAGAAATAACCAGAAACAATATTACTGGAAGAAACATGCTCATCTATACCGATAGCAGACAAGCACTACTCACCCTGAACAGACCACGAAATTACTCAGGGTTAGTACTAGAATGTCACGAAGCTTTGGCCGAAGTATCCATCAACAATGTAGTCACCTTAAGATGGATCAAAGGTCACGCCACATCGAAAGGTAATCGGTTTGCTGATTCACTACCCAAGAAAGCAGCCAACCAAATACTTTTTGGACCTGGCCATTATTGGCCTGACAAAATCGGTAGTGACAGACCTATTCAAAGAACATTCCCTTGTGAAATTCAAGGAAAGATGGGATGAAACAAGAAACTGCAGAGTTGCCAGGGAGCTCTTAAGTAATCCTGACAATACTGCAGCAAACAAATACATGACTATGACTAGACAGAATCTGCGCCTAGTCACAGGCATTCTGACTGGTCATTGCCAAGTACGAAAGCATCTCCATATCATGGGCTGTCAGAATTCGCACTCTGCAGAGAGTGCGAACAAGAAAATGATACTATAGAGCATTTGTTAGCCGATACTCGCCAAACCCAAATCTTCTTATAAATGAGAACGTCGGGCAATTGTAAAGTATATTATACTTTACGATTGCCCGACGCTCTCATTTATTAGAAGATTTGTGTTTGGCGAGTATCGGCTAACACCGGCCGATATAAGAGAACCACCTCTTGGCGACTTTGTCAACTACATAAAATCTGTAGGCTGGCTCACGAGCTAGGAGGTGTCTATCATCTCAGGAGGATGCACAATGGATCTAATGAGGCATAAGTGCCGTGGGGGTAACCCACCCACCACACGTTACAGATACAGAGATATAGGGACACTTAAAAACTAAAATTTATGCTACCCAGCCAACATCACTGGAAAATCTGCGACAACCGAAAATTGATGAATGTCATCAAATCACCCTACAGTTGCTTCAAAATGTCTGAGAGCATTTTGAGCATAACCTCTATTATTTCATGGAGGGTCAGCATTTCCAGCATTTTCTCGAGTGACTGGTAAGAATTTAAAGAAAATAAAAATCGTTAAAAGATCATGGCTAGGAAGACAATAGCGATTTAAAACTTGGGTGGTTATAATCTAGGCAAAAATACCTTCAAAATCAGATATCATTCGACCCCTCTTTCCATTTAAGATTTTAGGAGTGAGTCTCACCCCCTTTAGAGGGTTTCCGTTCAGGGGGTGAAACTTGCGAAGAAATGTTTCCCCCTAAAACCAAAAATTGATGGGTCCGAGCGTTTTTTAGTAAATGACCTGGGGTACCCCAAACTGGTTATGTTTGGTTTTCAAATGGCCACCCTGTATGTTTTTGAACTCACAGGTAGTTCTTTTTAGGAAACCTAGTATTTATTTTTAATTATGTACGTTTTGGTGAATGTTTTTTAAAATTTAATGTATTTTAAAATATATTCTTAGGATTAGTTATTTCCATTTTTCTTTCTAGGAGGTAATTTATTTATAATATTATTGTACTATATTTTAACTTTTCAATAACTTTTAGTACAAATAAATAAAGCATTTATTTAAATTTGAGAAAATTTGTTTTTTAATCTCCAATTATATAATTTATTAAGATCTTGTCGTAACTGATCATGATCTTCTTAATTATTAATTTTCCTAAATATGTAACATCATCCGCTTAGCATGTTAGAAAAATCGTTAATAAAAAGCAAAAAAGAAGAGGGCCAAGGATTGATCACTGTGAAACTCCTCAATTCTGTGAAAATTTAGCAATGATCCTCGTATAAATAATTAAAATAATTTAGAAATGTGAAAACACAAGTGTGGCTCAAATAAATCAGAAGCACCGTAAACTAGGCGAGGTTCACACATTCATAATATCATTAATCTTTTCGTTAACTAATACTTCTTACGCACGGCCTTGGTATAAATAGATACAGGTCCACTAGAAGATTAAACAGTGATTTTCCGATTACAAATTTAATAATATAGAACAGTGTTTCCCAACCTTTTTGAGCCATGACCCCCATCTAGGTCGATGGATATTTCCACGCCCCCCCCCATGTTTTTTAGGCTAACGATAAAGTCTCAGGGAATGTTAAGGAGTCACCTTTAAGAAATAATTTCATAATTTCAAAAGTTATTACTTTCTCCATGAACTTTTCATAACCTTTAATAAATTTAAAATAAGATAAAGTATCAGTTCTCGTATACAAAATAATTTTATTTCAAAACAAATATGTTTTTATAATATTTTTACAATATTTTGTGATGAGTAATATCAGTTATTATGATTCAGTGAGATCCTTGAGCTTGATGCCTGCTGCAAAGAGATTTAATATTGGGTTCCAATTTCGTCAGCTTCAGTCTCAAGTCTCCCCTTTTGGAAATATCCAGCCGATTTCTTTTCTTGAGCAGCAAATCAGTTATGGCACTGAATCCACATTCAACTAAATAGGAAGATGGAAATGGAAGTAATAGTTTCCTTGCGAATTTAGTTGAACTTGGATATTTGGTTTCTGTTTCCTCACATAGCCATGCCATCGCTCCTTTTATGTTAAATAAAGTTTTAACAGACTCATCATTTTGCATTTCTGCAAGTTCTTCTTGATACTGCACATTTGTAACATCAGCCAAATCCACTAACAATGGCTGCATCATCCAAGTTGGAAAATCAATTTGGTCCAAGTCAGAAAATCGTTCCTTCATATCAACTTGCAGAGCTTTCAGGTGATCGACAATTACAATTATGGCGTTATCAGACACTTCACATTTTTGGAGCCAATAAAATCTCTCAAAATTTTTGTTGCAAATATGTTTTTGGCTTAATTCAATAAAGGTGATGAAACCGAATATCTTAGCTTTTGCGTCAACAAGAGTTTTGTTTTTTCCTTGAAGTTGGCTATTTAATATATTTAGTTTTTCAAATATATCGGCTAAATAACTCACATATGCTTTACCATCGACTGTTGACAAGTATTGCATTTCTGGTTTCTCACTTAAAAAATCACGAAGTGCATCAAATAATTCCATAAATCTTTTCAAGCAGTTACCTTTCGAGAGCCATCTTACTTCAGTGTGAAGTAATAGCCTCACATGGTCTGCATTTTGTTCTTCGCAAAATAATTTGAAGAGACGCTCACATTTGGCATTAGCTTTAATGGAATTAATGCATTTAATTACCTTTTTCATTACTTCATTTAGATGAGGCGAAATATTTTTAGCTACCAAATTTTGCCGATGAATAACACAATGCACAAGAATCATTTCTGGATTCTCATCTTTCATCAATTTTAAGCAGCCATTTTTCTTGCCCATCATATTAGGAGCACCATCCGCAGCACAGGAGGTTATATTTTGCATTGATATATCGTTGACATTTAAGTAATCCTTGAGTTTGTTATATATATCTTTGGAGGTAGTGGTGCTTTCTAGTAGTTTGCAGAACAGCATTTCCTCAGCAAATTCTCCATTTTCAATATACCTTACGTACGCTAATAATGCGGCTTCACTGTCCCTCAAAGTTGATTCATCCATTTGTATTGAAAATTTTCTTGTTTTTAGCTTTTCAATAAGTTGTTTTTCAATATCGGCACTCATTTCATCTATTCTTTTCATGACTGTATTGTTACTTAAAGGCATTGCTCTTACGTCTTTGTCATCTTTCTCAAGAACTGTTTTAAGAAATGCCGATATTGATGGTTTGATTAAATTCTCTCCTATTGTATGATTTTTTCCACTTTTAGCAATCAGTAATGAAATTTGATAACTTGCTTCAAGGGTACGATTAACTGTTGCAGTCTTTGCGGTAAAGAGAGTCTTTAATGTTGCTCTGTTTTCAAATTTCTGCTTTAATGTTTTAAAGTAGTTCAAATCGGAATTAGCTTGTGCACTATGTTTCGTTTTCAAATGGGCCTCCAAACGACCTCGTTTCATTGATTCGTTTGATAAGCATTGTTCGCATAGAAGGCAAAAGGGCAAACGTGCATCATGGACAGCGGATATAAAACCCATCTTCAAATATTCTTCGTTATACTGACGAACTTTTTTCTTGATTGTACTCATTTTACTATGAGCTGAAATAATTAAATATATTTAGTCAAAAACTGAAAATAAAGTAAAGTAATCCCTCGGTTCTTCGAGCTTTAACTTTCACCTCATCTCTGTATCGCGGCTTAGTCATGTACATTAATTTAATTTAAAAAGTTGATTGTGAAAATGATACCGTGCACCGTTTCAATTTGCATACTACTTCATTACAATCAATTGTATTAAAACCTTAATAAATAAACGAGGGACTACTGCGTGCACATTTACTTAACAGCATTACATTTGGTACAAAATATGAAGTTCGACAACTTACTATATCTGTATCCGTGCAAAACGTATCACCCTTGACTTCGCCACCAAAAATGATTTTCGCTTTTAGTGTACGTTTTGATCAAAGCCTTGGCGTGGACTGTGGCGTGGATCAGCACAGCACAGGGCCAAACCGCGTGTGTTATCGCTGTTATCGGTGTTCTTTCTTTGTCTCTTCTTTCACTTCACAGCAAACTACACAGAACAAAGATAGATTGCGGGAGAAGCGCGAGGTGTGCTGCAGAGTGTAGACGTGTAGACTGAGCAGGAGCAGGCCGCCCGGCTGCCGCCGTTGCTCGCTGTCCACCGAATTGGCTTCCGTGTGCCTGCAGCTCGTTCGTGCTTCGTGCGTTGTGTGTTGGTGCGCGCCTGAAGTTCGAAGCCATAAACACGTCCACTCATGCCTCGAATTTTGTTCGATTTAACGGGGATATTGAATTCGGACAAAATTTTGTGACAATATTATATATGTATGATCGATTTAACGAAGTCCGTTAAATCGAGGTATTAATTTTTTTTAAGAGTACTTTAAAATTTTACACGTCAATTGTCATATTGCTCCCGTTGCCCCCCTCAACATTCAATTTGCCCCCCGGTGGGGCGTACGCCCCACGTTGGGAATCACTGATATAGAAGGTGGTACTGATGACGAAAGTGTCACAAGTCACAAATAAATAGTGCATTGGGTCACTCAAAAGACAAATGTGAAAGTTCATCGTGTTGCTTAACAAAGATTTTTTCGAAAAGATAAAACCGTAACGAAAACCAAACAATACCCAACTAATGCCCATATATAAGATATTAAAAATATTGGGTTACGTATTAATATAATTTTTCACGGTTTTCTGTCTTCGCATCGTTGTGTAATGGATTCTAACGCAAAGAGGTTACGTTATTTTTAAGTGATTTGCAATTTGTATTGTATTAAATTTATTCGTGAATTTCCTATTTGGGATGTTGTATACCCAGAAACAAGTTACCTATATTTTTCTTAGTCAAACGATTACTGTCTTTTTAGTACTACGCATTTTCTCATTACGCACATTAGATTTCCTAATTCAAAGTGCCCTATTTTCCATATCAATTTACCCCGGAAAGGTTAAACCGTTTGAAGATCTATAGCTTTTGGGGTTGTGTTGTGTGTAGAGTTACTCTTTTTTGACGAATGTGAATCACAAAAGACTTTACACACTAGTTGCATATAATATATTTTCTACTACCGTACACATTATCCACTAATATGAGAAATATAAAATTTAATTTTTTTCACTAGTGCGTAAACTACTACATCGATATGGAAAAATTGTTCGCAAATTGGTACGCACCAGTGAAAAAAGTACAACTTTACGCATTCCGTGGAGTGCGTAAAGTATAAAATTTACGCACAATAGTAGAAAAAAAAATTATGTGGATTAAATAAAAAAAATCTTCTGGTTCTCTTCTTTCTTCCTTTAGTTCTGTTCCAACTCCTGTTTTCCCTACTTCTTGCCTTGTTTTTTTTTTACTGAGGCCCTTCCTATGGAACCTCAGTATTGCATTCGTGCAGACGAAAAAAATTTTCTTATCCCCATTTTTTAAACCTTTTTTTCATGTTTCCGATCATTTTGAGTCCGAAAATGCAAGAAAAAATGAAAGTTCTGATTGACTTGCGGTTTTGATTTTCTCGAATAATTACTTCTATCTTAGAACGCTATTGATTTTCAGAATTTTCGGTTCATCCTAACTACTTTAATATCAATTTTCTTAAAATCTGCATATGCATTTCTTATGTGACAATTTTAGGAATTTCAATTATTTTTAACGTCAACATTCCTAACATTCTTAAAATTCCATAAATTGTAATCATTCTTTAACGACCTGTCAAACAACAGCTGTTGATAGTAAAGGTGAAAGTAAAGGCGGGTTGCGACCTTCATATTTGCAACCATAGTCATTTTGGAGGCTATTTTTATTCGAAATTAGTCGCCAAACCTGCCAATTTATGAAAAATATATAAGCAATTTCTTAAAAATTACTTTTTATGGTGGTGCTAACTTAAGCGTACTACTATTTCACCCCTAGCTACAAAAACACCTTCATCAAATTTACTGGCTCTCTCTTGCAACCCCATAGAATAATTAACCGGCCATTTTATTTAGCAAAAATCAAAATAATGCTTGGCTGTGCCTGTCAAGTATCAAGATGTCAACTGTGATGTGTAAATGGCTCTTAAATGTCAAATTATTTAAAAATGTATACTTCTTTTGATATTTATTGCAAATAATTTGTAGTGTATTTCAATTCAGGCTTTCCACAAATAAAGGTACAGCAAGACAGATAATATAATGTTCTTATACAAAGCAATTTTTTATTATATAAAAGAGAGGTAGGATATAATGCTGGTTTTTTGTAGAAAATTTTTATTATACAATTTCGGATTACATATTCAACCAGCAAATTGTAAATAATAATTGGTAAACTTCTAGCCATAAATTTCCTCAATAAATAAAATTTAAAAATGAATCTTCTTACCTAGGTACCGAGGTATTTTGTTGTGTTTTTATTTTAATTATAAAGTTGTCATTTATTTGTATGTTGAAAGAAGGCCTTTGTAAATTACATTGCTCTCTATGGATCTATTTTAACACAAAAATAATTTTGTGGCTATAAGTTGCTATAACCTATCGTCGCAAAACTATTAATAATTTAAACATAGCAAGTAGTATTAATATAACATCAAGTAATTTTAAAAAATAAAGTACCTGATCTCAAAACAGAAATAATATATAATAAATGCGGGTAAAACGAGGGGTAAAATAACAATACATTAAGGGAAATCCTTAAAAAGGGCAGGTTTAAAGAGTATTTTTTTTTTGTGTCATCGGCTTCAACTGCTAAGGTTATTTCGCCTCGTGTTCTGTGTAGGCTTTGTTACTGTTTCCCAGCGCCACTTTAGGAACAGCACTGGTAATTAGAACCCAACAGTGAATGGTCGAGTGGGGAATCCTACCAAGGCATCAGAATTAATTTTAATTAATTAAATTAAGGTTATTTTGTTGACAGCGTCAATTGTGAGCTTCAGTTATATTGTGCTTATTTTTAATTATTATAATTAAAAATTTAAATGTTTAATTAGGATATTTAAATATGTAGTATGCCAGAATACATGGAGTAAGAATATTACACGGTCATTCAATTGGTGAACCAGTCCTGATTTATTTAATATTGTAATTTTTTATAGGGTGGGTAGCTAAGTGGTAGAGTCTGTGCCTGTGGATCCAAGGGTCCCAGGTTCGAATCCCACCGCTGGCCGGGATTTTTTTATTTAATTTAATTATTTAAAATTAATTCTAATGCCTTGGTAGGATTCCCCACTCGACCATTCACTGTTGGGTTCTAATTAACAGTGCTATTCCTAAAGTGGCGCTGGGAAACAGTAACAAAGCCTACACATAACACGAGGCTAATGACCTTAGTAGTCGATGCCGATGACACCAAATTACTAATACTAAAGCATTGTTTGTTTTTATATTAATGTTCTTCTCTCTTTTTAGATCAGATTTATACAATTACTTCTATACTTTTAAGCAACTGGTTTCATAAAAAAGTACATTACACTGAATATTCACCTTTGATTCAGGGGATCTATTGAAAGTGTATACCTTATTAAAATTGTATCATTAAATAATTATTATAAATAAACCCTCCTGAAACAGTACGTCATTGTGAATTGTAGTTTGAAGACGAGTCCATCTTAGATTTATGTCTCTAGCCCAACTGATATGTGTTATTAGGGAATTTTTGACTTATAAAATAAACATTATGTCATGCGAACCATTTTTGAATGGTTCGGTCCTGCTCTAATCCCTATGCTTTACTTGGGCCTTTTACGGCCTTCATTTTTCCCTTTACCAACAATTTTCGACAAAACAGGTCAACCTTGGAAAACACTATACCCACCATACCCATCATCGCGTCGAAGTCAAGCTCTGTACCTGTCAAAGAATTTTAACGAATCATCTAGAAACAGCAACTCTGAAGAAGGTACCGGTACCAGAAGTAGCGATTCTTAGTCAAGTGCATCGGACTATTCGAGAGCAAGTCTGAAGTGCGACATGTATATAAGTTGACAATTTTTACTGGTGTGAAGTTAGCAGACTAAACTTGGCAGCCAAAATGGCGAAGGAACCCGAATGAACAGTGGCGTCGGTTCCAGGTTAATAAATTTAATTAAATAAATTATGCGGTAATTATTAAATCAAAAGTAGAAGTAAGAACATTTAAAAAAAATATAAACCATAAATTAGATATTAAGTCAGATTTAAGAATATTTGTATTCAAGAGAAATGAAAAATTGGTCTTTTTAAGATTTTGATATATCGCAACCAACAAAGAATCTTAAATAAGTCCAAAACAAGACATACTATCAAGTTGATATTTTAACACAATTTAATCTATTTATAAGCCTCACTAAAACAAGTTACTGTCAATGTTTCGCAAGCCGTCAAAAAGTGTGAAAAAATGAAAAAAAACTGTGAAAATAAAACGTCTGCCAACAAACTATCTACAGAAACTCCATAACTAGACATACTATCAAGTTCATACCTTAAAAAGAATAAGCCTATACATATTCATATGTAATAGTAGTACTGTCAATTCATAGCAAGCCGTCACAGGGTAAGAAAAAATTAAATCAAATAAAAAACTCTAAAAATAAATAGTCTGCTAACAAATTATCTACAATAGCTCCATAATTAGACAATATTTTAAACAGAATAATCACTGACATACCTATATATAATAGTGGTACTGTAAATTTATCGCAAGCCGTCAAAGGGTGGGAAAAAATTAATAGAATATAAAAAAACTCTCAAAATAAATAGTCTGCTAACAAATTATCTACAATACCTCCATAACTAGACATACTATCAAGTTCATATTTTAAACAGAATAAGTCTTGACATACTTATATATAATAGTGGTACTGTCAATTCATCGCAAGCCGTTAAAGAGTGGGAAAAATTAAAAGAATATAAAAAACTCTAAAAATAAAAAGTCTGCTAACAATACCTCTCTAACTAGACATACTATCAAGTTCATATTTTAAACAAAATAATTCTTGACATATCTATATATAAAAGTGGTACTGTCAATTCATCGCAAGCCGTCAAAGAGTGGGAAAAATTAAAAGAATATAAAAAACTCTAAAAATAAAAAGTCTGCTAACAATACCTCCATAACTAGACATACTATCAAGTTCATATTTAAAACACAATAAGTCTTGACATATCTATATATAATAATGGTACTGTCAATTTATCGCAAGCCGTCAAAGAGTAAGAAAAATTTAAAAGAATATAAAAAAACTCTAAAAATAAAAAGTCTGCTAACAATACCTCCATAACTAGACATACTATCAAGTTCATATTTTAAACACAATAAGTCTTGACATATCTATATATAATAGTGGTACTGTCAATTTATCGCAAGCCGTCAAAGAGTAAGAAAAAATTAAAAGAATATAAAAAAACTCTAAACATATATAGTCTGCTAACAAATTATCTACAATACCTCCATAACTAGACATACTATCAAGTTCATATTTTAAACAGAATAAGTCTTGACATACCTATATATAATAGTGGTACTG